AGGATCCCCTTTCTTTATCTGGCGCGAGAAGGAAGATAAACAATAATTAGAAATGCATGGCATGTAGTCCCAGAAGTTTCAGTACAAGAATATCAGATTACAGACACCAAAAGCAAATAGCATTTCAACCACACTCATTCACTCTATATAAAGATCATAGCTATACAGAAACAGTAGTGATATGTATGTCTACATCCAAGCATGTACGTGTACATGTATAATGTACATGTACATGTTGGATACTGAGCGTATTGAAAATAGTACGTAATGTGTGTGTGTGTAAATGCTCATTCAAACGTGTATTGAAAGCATATACTGTATCATAACACACACAGTGTCACTTCAGGCAAGTACACATTAAGAATTAAAATGAAAAAGTGGAAAAGGCAGAAATTCTTCAGACAAGTCTATGACAATTAAAGTACTATGTATAGTACATGTACATGTATTCACAGTGGGCTCTGAATAGATGTACCAGGTACATGTACATGTACTAAAGGAAATGAAACCAGTGAAATCCCTACTACTACTACAATCAACACACTTCCTTCCTTTCCTTCTATAAACTGTCTACCACAATAAAATATATTCTGCCAGCAATGTAAGACCATTTGGGAAAAAAATAAAAGCAAAGCTATGGACCAAAAGCTTGGCCATAATAATAATAATACAAGTTACTATAGTGTGCATTAGCATAAGCTATATGTGTATATCTACCTTAAAGTAAATATCAGGTGGTCTTTTATTCAGTCTGATAGCAACACTCTCCAACTCCTTCTCTAACAGTGCCCTGTATTAAGATTATATATACGTGTATACACACACACACATCATGCTAATATTATCATTATTGAAAGTTTGTTAGAGGACACATCATATATGAAATAATTCACAAGAGCGTTTGTTTACTTTTGAATTTCTCCTTTGCTGGCATCCAACATCATTAGAATAACATCAGCTGTACGCGCTACCGATATCACCTGCCGCCCCCTCCCTTTACCTTGTGAGGCTCCTTCGATGATGCCAGGAAGATCAAGTAATTGAATATTAGCGCCATTATACTAATGGAGAAGAAAGGACATTATACTAATGGAGAAGAAAGGACACACATACAGACAAGGAAAAGAGAGAGAAATGATAGTCAAAATAAAAAGACGAAAAAGGAAAAAAAGAGAGAGGAGGAGATAATTAATTGATAATACAAATGCCAACATAAC